CGTTTGAGAGAAGTTCAGTGACATACACACTCACAGAAGAATTATATATATATATAAAGATAATTAATACTCACATACGTTATTCATACCGTTTTTTTTTCTTATTTTAGCGAAAATTTGTGTGACAGGGTATGTAGACCGCATTTTCGTCATATTGTACATCGGCCCATTAGCTCAGTTGGTTAGAGCGTCGTGCTAATAACGCGAAGGTCGCGGGTTCGATCCCCTCATGGGCCACAGTTTCATTTTGGCTTCACATGACTTCAAACATCTTTTTGATATTTTTCTAGATCCTCCATCTTCGGAAAAGTGCCATTATCAACCAATTTCAACGTTGGACCGGAATTTAAAACAATTTATGAGACCGGTTGTAGTACAAACGATTTCTCCTATAATGCTGGAGAACTTTAGAGGTAATAAATGAAATATTAAAATATTATTTTAAGAATACAAATATTTACTGAATTATTTATTAATTGACAATTTCCTACAGGTATCCTAGAATGCCATTACGACCATTTGCCAAGAAGGAGCCACGAGTTCAACACAATCCAAACTCGTTCTTCAATAGCGCCATCTATGAACGACTGCAGCGAACTACGACAACTTCGAGCTAGCGTAACTGAATCTACGATTGAAGCGTTGAAATGTGAAGCAAAATTGGATGTTATAGATAGCACAACTTCAGAACCTCTTTATGCTGAAATTCCATGTTGGAGGCCACCTTCTGAACATGCTATTGAAATCATGAACTTAAACGGCGAAGCCGTAACAGAATTATGACCGCAATGCGCAGGTCAAAGTGTTAGCTCAGCTCGTAGTTCTGAAATGTTATACTAGATGGCGTTGTGTGAAGTGTTTTAATTAAAACTACCAAAGATTTTTGTGTGAAGTAAAATTATTATAATAATTATTATTGTATTAGGAAAATAATTAAACTAAATTAAAATTCGCATGTTATTTATTTCTTAGTTTGCCATATATTCGTTCCCTTCAATAAAAGTAATTTTATTGTTTTCTCTGGTGTGACGTCAAACTGGTATTTCGTGGAAATCGTATAGCATAGCAGAACCTAAGATAAACTTTATCGGGGTTAAAGTGCGTGGGTATTACTGTTATCAACTGACATCCTATGTACCGGGTCGCATGGATTTCGCAAAATTAAATGTGTCAATATTATTCACTTGATTATATAAAATATTGTTAATTAACGAAAAATAATCTGTTGATTTAATCCCAGTGTCGCAGTCGCAAATTGGTAGGTATTATGAGACTTGAGTAGGTATTGGATTTAACTCGTCGAGTACCGGTTTTGCAGACACAATTATAGAACAATAGGTTGCGGTCACCGGTGACCGCTTGGTATTTGACAGTTTAATATCGTAAGTATCTATTATTTTTGTACTAAGAGTCTTTAAATTTCCTATACCTTTACTTTTTTTAAGGGGGAAAACTGAATGATTTCTCCCGCCTAGGTGAGGCGGGAGGGAGAGTCAGACTTTTACTTACTATAAACCACCCCGTTCCTACTCCTGCACTTCGAGCCGGAGCCCAGGTAACCCGTTAGGTTCTCCGCGACACCTACCTATCTTTACTAGCTTCATTTTCAATCAAGAAAAAAATAGATAAATAAATGTATGACACTGATTCCCATTTCTGTAAATCCAAACAATGAGATAAGAATGCCCTTGACCATTAACATTATTCACATAAATACAAACACTTGTAGATTATTATGTATTATCATTAGGTAGGTATAATTCTAGCAGTAAAAGTATAACTTAGGCTTTCTATTGAACACGGGCCTGCGGACGGCGAGCACGGGTGACTCGCCGCCCGACCAGAACCAGGCCCGAACGTACGGCGCATCGCGTTCCGCGCGCGCCTCAAGGAGCCATCAGACAACCACAGATGTGGCCTAACAGGGCTGATGCCGATACGGAGCCGCGGAAGACTTAACGTGTTGCCGGGGCTCCGGCTCGAAGTGCAGGAGTAGGAACGGGGTAGTTTTTAGTCAGTAAGAGTCTGACACTCCCTCCCGCCTCACCCGGGCGGGAGAAGCCAATGGATGATGTTCCACCCTCAAAAAAAAAGGCTTTTTATTGAACCTAATTGCCTATTTCATATTGTCTGCTTATTAGTGCTTATGTTAATTTTGACTCGTATGAAACGAGATCGTTTGATCAGTATTTGATTATGAAGATACGTAAGTAAGTAGGTAGGTATGTATTTTGAATACTAAAATGTCAATTAGACTTGTACACAAGACACTAATTCTAGACTCCCTAGTTTTATTACTACAGTTCCAATAGTACCTTTGATCAGGAATTCAACTCCTTATTAGGCTGTTCTCCTTAAGACATAGGTAAGTCATAAGTAGATAGTAGATACATACATATAAAACAATATTAAGTAGGTACCAAAGTGAATTATGATTTTTTAAACCAATGCTAAGCAAACATTTCAATGGAAGCTCATTATACCAATTCTATGAATCAGACTTTACAAAAAATATAAACATCACAGTAAATCGGTATCTACCTACACTATTTTGTAGAACATTATCCTCAATTAATGTTCAAACTACCTGTAGTAGTATGTTACTGATTTCCAATATATTACTATTTATATATTTTGACTGCCTCGTTGGCTGAGCGGTCGCAAGTGCGACTGCCGGGCAAGGGATCTCGGGTTCGATTCGGGCAAAGTATTAGATACTGAGTTTTGAAAAATCTTAGTCGTGGCACGGAGTCTGGAAATGTGTATATGGCAATAGGCTTACCCCCTATTACATGGGACTCATAACATAAATAGTGAACAGTGGGTGTTACATTGTACAGTGGAATTAAGTGCCGAAACGTGCACCCTGCCTACCCCTTCGGGGATAAAAAGGCGTAATGTTATGTTATGTTACTATTATTTAATACTGATTAGAATTAGGGTAAGTAGAAAAGAGGCTCGGGGTACACAGATAGTACTTATTCAGTAAGTTCAGTAGAACAAACTTAATTAATTTGAAGTAAGTGCTACTACCCAACCAAAGAATTTCTCGATGACAAAGATTGCAGGAATATTGTTGTAGAATAGTGCATACATTTGTAAGTAGAAAATAAGTGTAATATTTTAATAATTATTTGTACACCGATTCGGTAGCATGTATGAAACATTCATTAGGTAACTAACTACATTCTGACAATAAATTTTTTTTTCTATTTTTCTTTCTTAAGTTCAGGTAGGTGAAGGGATGTTATCTGCAGAGTGGCTAGCGATGGTTCGATGCGAAGAACTAAAGATCGAGCTCTAAGATAATTCTATTAATGAAACCTAAGTCCTACTGTGGACGAAGCCATAGGTATTCTGTGTTCGTATCAGGGGCGTAGCTAGCGCCGTATCTGCCGTATCAATAACTAAGATAATCAAACTCAAACTCAAACTCAAAAGCATTTATTTCAATTAGACCATAATTTGGTACTTTTGAAACGTCAACAAATATGGGATATATAATAGTCTGTCAGTCTGTCCGTCAGTGAAGCTAGGCGCTCGTTCCAAAATGTCGATTCGAGTGGAGAAGAACGAGCAAGAAACTCCATTCGTTACTCTTTTTAAAAAAAGTCTGTTTTACATTGCTCTGATACATATTCCAATATTGTACACACATGTGAGAATAATGTAAAGACATACCTGACGCAACATACAAATAACAGAACATACTAAAATAGAAAAAAAAAAACAAAACCAAGAGAAAACAAATATCTTAAGTCTGACATGGTCCTCACATATGTATACTGACAATCCATATAAAATAGTGCTACTATACAAGAAAAAAATAAAAAATAAACTATTGTTTAAATAAAGAAAGAAATGCTCGATGCCACAAGAAAAATAGATTGCCTTCATCGGAATCAAAGTGTTAAATTACCTATTATCGTAATCTGAACTAGGTACTGACTACATTTGAGTATTGTCCAGTGGAGCCGAACCAACACGCTGCCAAGCATTCCTATCCTCAAGATAATCAATCACCCTGTAGTAAGCTTGTTTACATAATTCGCGCTTAATATATTATGTTTTAAATTTACTTTCATTGAGATCTAGTATGCTATTTGGTATTTTATTATAGCATTTAATACCTAACCCCATAAAGGATTCCTGTACCTTGGACAGTCTGAATTGCAGTACAGCTAACTTATTCTTGCCTCTAGTATTAAGATTGTGTCTATAGCTTCTTTTTTCGAACAATTGCCTATTCTTTCTTACATACATTATATTTTCATATATGTATTGACAGGGCACCGTTAAGATGTTTATCGTTTTAAACAATTCTCTTAGCGATTCGCAACGGCGTAAGTTATATATTGCTCGGATAGCCCGCTTAAATAATTAATAATTAACAGACCACTTATTTCATTTCTATATTCATCAAAATATTGCAAAACACACACACATATGCATTATCTCATCGTTTCCGACAAATGACGATATCTACTGATTTAGGGGTCAGTGTATGAAAACCAGGGAAACCTAATGAAGTAACATATTTTTTTTAAATAATCGGGTATCAAAAGGTTTACTTTTTGACTGTCAATGTCAAATATAAATTGAATGTACGAAACTCAATATAAAACATGCAGAATAAATTCATGTCTATAACATAAAATTATCATAAGATTTTCATTCTTGCATTAAAGTAATAATTTAATCCCAGAAGAAGTTACCAGAGGTGCACAATTGGACATTGGTACTAACCATTTTTCACAACTGGTTATGAGTCACATCTCATGTTGCCTATAGCCATTTAACGCTAGGTACTCCAGACTTCGTGTTTATAATTAAAAATTCGAAATACCGAAAAAGCTCAATACAATACTTTGCGTGACTCAGGAACCAATCGGTCCAGTGGTCCAGACCGAATCCCCATGCTCGTGTATGCTGCATTGAGTCCACTACCGAATACGCAGCTCAAGTCAAGATGACCGTTGATTCAAAATATGCGGAACCTGCTATTAAAATTAAACAACAGACTTGCTTACCCTAGCTGGATGTGCTAATATGATCGTCAGTGTGCTACGAGGTCCAGTGGCACAAACAACTAAGATACGGTAAGCAAGTTATGTCATACTTATTTAAGTAAACCTCTTATACCTCTAGATTGTGTGTAATCGCTAGTTTAAAGATTTCAAGTTCGCGTAGCAACTATGTGCTTTGTTTTTTATTCGATTGTGGTTAGTGAACTCGTTTTGATTTATTAGTGTGTAAGGTTTGCTGTGCTAATTACTAAAACTAGTTATTTTAAACAAAAGCATTTCATGTACCTTAGATACCTACACTAAGTTAACTCGTTCAGTATCGTCATTATAGACACAATTAAAGAACAATAGGTTGCGGTCACCGGTGACCGCTTGGTGTTTGACAGTTTAATAAATATAAAGAACATACATATTCCACCTTTCTTGAATACTTGTGCTACTACCAGATCTTCGAAACTCAGTATCAGTAAGATTTGGACGGATCCGAAAAATTAGGCCCGAAACTATTTGCTAGGCTGTAGCGCTTCATGCGGAAGACTTGACGGGTTACCGGGGCTCCGGCTCGCAGTGCAGGAGTAGGAACGGGGTGGTTTATATGTGTGGTTAAGGGGGGAAAATCATCGAATGACTGCCCCCGCCTGGGTGAGGCGGGAGGGAGTGTCAGACTCTTACTGACTAAAAACCACCCCGTTCCTTCTCCTGCACGTCGAGCCGGAGCCCCGGTTACCCGTTAGGTTCTCCGCGAC